GGGAGAGGGAGGAGAGGGAGAGGGAGGAGAGGGAGAGGGAGGAGATCCCGGGCCTGGAAATCAGGACCCGCTCGACCAAGAAGCAGATATTCCCCCGCCGCAGCCACCGCCACCTCGACGGACAGAACGGCATGTTACACCGTTTGGAGAGCGGGCGGGTGAGGTGGTGAATGACGGGGATAATCCCATCGACGGCTTCCGGGCATATGAGGCGCAACTACCTGCCAGACCTGCAACTCTAGCTGCTTGTTGTTTTCCATTCCCCATGACAAAGGGGAAATATCGATGTGACCATAGTCATGGCAAATGGGTGTTGTTGTTGTAGAATGGGTTTGCCATGACCGTGAATTGTTGGGCCTTTGTTGGGGCCATTCTACAATAACAACGTGTCATGGCAAATGCCTCGGGCCACCTCGGGCCGACGTTGGCCTTGCCATCAATCCTCGGGCATCCCCGAGGACCTGTGGACCCACAATGATCCCCCTCCCCATCAAATCAGCCCCCTACTGTTCCCTACCCTCCCCTGGGCTGCTCCCACCCCTGCTGCCTACTGTATATAGTACATAGTGTATGTATACACTACAGCTACCAGTAGATACCCTGTAATCAGTACAGCAGGCCCTGCAGGGCCCAGAATAAATTGGCGCTTTTTTGGGCTGCCAGCTCACCACCAGTACAGATAGATCTAGGGTAGATACGGACAATCGCCACGGTGAAAACCTGCGCATACGTACCAAGTAATATAATCAGTCCACAGATCAGGAAAAGAATACTAAATGCGCTGGGGATTCCGCTTTCATTGGTAGGTGGTCAGGGAGGAGGAGCAGATAGCTGGTACTGGATACATACTGGATGGATTACCTAGATTTCGGAACCCAAGGTACATGCAGGTACTGGCGCCAGGATCTGATACTCAGATTGACCGTACCTAGCGTAGCGTGAGAAAGCGCCACAGTTCTTTGAATTTGCGCTTCCCCACCTTATTTGGGGTGGCACTCTAGAACCAGGTGTTCTATGGCTGCGCCACCTACTGCATATGGATACTATGGCTCTACAATACCTGCTGTATGCTCAGCTAGGTACCGGAGCAAGCAGTACTGGTACAGCACCTGTTCCCATTTTCCCTCACAATTTCTGACACAGATCTGCATGCCATAGCTTCTATACAGTACAGACAGCCTAGGGGACCACCCAAACATGTACCCGGTAGCAATGGTAGTAGTCTGAGACACTTCCAGCAGTGCATATAAGGTATAGTACTGCTTAAACAGGCCCATCTAATTTTATTTACGCATTTATGGCGATTTCTATACATTTAAATTAGAACATGTACTATACATCATAAAAATCCCCTAAATGAGGCGATCAATATGCTGTAGTTTATGTGGTAGGGGGTGGGGGAGGTGGGGAGCTATGGGGTAGGGAAGGTGGGGATGGCATGCCTGCTGAGGCTCAGCTCAAGCCCTAGTCACTTGGTCACTTCAGCTGCATGTCTGGACCTTCCTTACCCCATAGCTCCCCACCTCCCCCAC